AGGTTCAACAATTAGAGGCGTTTGGGACGGTTTTGGGCACAAGTAAGGTGAACAGTCGTGAAACCAATACAAGGACAAATTCGAAAATCCTTGAAATGTATTACTTTTTTGTCACAAATTGCAAGTGAAAGAATTTTGGGAAACTTTCCGTACATGTCAACCAATCATACAGTAAAATAAGTGTATGGAGTGGTTACCTTGACGAGAACTAAGACACTTTTCATCTATGGCAAAAAGTGCGGAAATCGATTTCTGCTCTCTATTTTGCATGTTTCAGCCTGTTTTCCCATAATTTCCCTGATCTAGTCCTTGCCCTCCCCTGCCATCGGGACTTAGGAAATCACATCAAGATTATTGGCTGGAGAATGCGACAGATGTCATCATTAGATTCGTTCTCATCACAAGAGAACAAATCTAATGATATAGATATTGTCTGGGAAGACCCAATTGTCATTTTTGGAAAATTAACCAAATTTTGCAAGGTTATAAAGGTATTTGTTTGTGAAAGTGACACACCCTCCGGAAACAAAGTCCCAAAACCAGGGTTTTGTGCGAACCCAAAAATCCAAACCTAACATTTTCTACCTTCTATTTATTCCCTAGACAGGGGGGCAAGCCCCTCCTGTACCCCCCCTTTATTAGCACTTCATCCCAACATAAACCATAAGATTGAGAACTCTAGCTGTGTGAAAGGATATTTTTGTTATTTCGCATTAAATATGAGGCTGCAGCAGCTCTACCTGTGGTGTTTATGACTCTATTTCCTCTATAAGATAGCAGTAACCGTTTCCCATTGTCTCTGCGTATTCCAACCTTGCAATTATTATTCCTTCTTGCAACTGTGCACATTGTAACATGTGTGAATCTGTTGTTGTTTTCCATTGCAAATGATATAAATGAAAGCATTGGAAACTTATGAACTGACTGCACCTCATTGATGGTAAGTCCCTATTCCTCCAGCCTCTCCTTGGAATCCGCAAACATCTCCGTATGAACCAAAAACGTTCACCATGGATAGTCCATTTGGTATTAGTCACAACTTATTTTCTTCATTTCTGACCATATTCTTTACCTACACAAAGAATCGTTGAGTGTAGTTTTTCCTTTTCTTTGTGCTGGTGTCATTACATTTTCCTGTAAATATATACCAGAATATGACAATTTTAATAATGATAGATGCATCTCACTATCTAGTACATATACATGTAGAAATTATGCCACAGAAACCCCCCGAACCCCCACTTTCTTGGCCCAACTAGCAAGGGAGGGTATGAAAGGTACCAGAGGATATTGTATGGTAAAATAACAATAATGTAATAACATAATGAAGATAAAACTTCAGTGTACTGATGATAGTACCTCATTATATTGTGACCCCTCCCTCCCCCATGGGAAGCTGCTGCCCCCAACCCCCACCCAGACAGAAAAACAAAGAATTCTCCGCACATCCCCCCGCATTATACATTGCAGAGACTTATTCATTGTGTATTACTATAATTACATATTCACTGTATCCTATTCATATTCTACTGCACAATTTCCCTGGTACCTTTCATGCTCTCCCCTGCTATTGGGGCTAAAATGTTACTAATGGAGGTGATTTCCACAGAATAATTTTGATATATTTGGATACTAGAGGGTGAGAGGAATCCATTGATACCAAAATTGTTGCAATCGCTATGCAAAGGTATTAATCACCTTTTTTCTGTTGTTCTGTCTCTTACAGGCAAAGTTTACCTAGTAATATAAGGCTGTGTTAAACTGAAACTATACTTTGTGCAGTTATATAGCTATTGTGGATTCCATAGTATCAATGATTAGTCCTCTTTTTGGGTTCCAGAAGTTCTATGCATTTTTTCCTTTCTTTCTGTCTTTTTCTTTCTCAGTAGTCTTTATCTTTACAAATAAAACCCATACATTTGTCATCTTTGTTTTTGTTGTTCTAAAAACCATGCATTTGTATACATATATATGTAGGTGTACCTGAGGTATCTGTGTTTTTGTGATAGTGTTTAAGTGCAACCTGAAAATAAAAGTATGGAGATTCTTGTTTTCTACACATTCATGTCTGATAATGATGATGTGTTTGTAATCTCAGAGATTTATTAGGGGCACTTTCCTGTGAATTGATTTTCTTATTTCTGGAAGAATTACTAGGACCACATACATACCTGGGGTCATGTCACTAATGTGTGTCTTAAATATGAGATCTGGATTATTATTTTTTTAGACAAACAAGTTTTTATTTATAAATATATGTACTACATATATGTATATATGTATGTATGTGTATATATATATACATATAAATATATATATATATATATATATATATATATATATATATATATATATATATATATATATATTTTTTTTTTTTTTTTTTTTTTTTTTTTTTTTATGTGTATATACATATGCATACATATACACACACATTATATAGATAGATAGATAGATAGATCTATATATATGTATATATTTTGTGTGTCTGTGTGTGTGTGTGTGTGTCCATGTCCTTTTCAATTCTTACTAAGCATAAAAAGATGTCACATATATATGTGGATATGGCTTATACAGAAGTACACCAATGTTAATGTAATTGGATGTAAAATCAGCAATATGAATAGCACATCACTTTTTGTAAAATAACTGAAATGCTAGTTTTGCAAGAGTAATGATAAGCAGAATATTTTCAGAATATATATTTTCTTTTTAATTTTTTTTGACATAATTTAAAGTGAAATGATACAGCTCAAATTAATCACAAATAAGTATAAGCAATGTTTCTACTTCATTATTCTTTTTATTAAGGTGGGCTGCTGTGCTTGTGAAGTTGCCTCCACTAATCTCATGTTCTGGTTTGCAGTTTAAAGCAGCAAATTGACACCATGCCTAAGAAGTTCAAGGGAGAAAACAGTAAGGCAGTTGTTGCCAGAGTTCGCAAAGCCGAGAAGGCAGCCGAGGAGAAAGCCAAGAAAGACAAAGCCATAGAAGATGCGTATTGGGAAGATGATGACAAGCAAGCTAAAAAGAAGATGGCAAGGAAGGTAGGTTTACATGTTTTGGAGCACAGCAGGTTGTGGGGGGTGGTATATCATACATGCTGTGCCCACTGTGAGTTTAATATATTCATTGTTTTTACACATAGATGGCTCTATAAGTCACCTGTGAGCAAGTTACGAGTACTACAGGTCTCACCTGTTTACCCTTTTCCTTGAATCTAGTAATATTGTTGATAGTAATGTCAACAACACTATAATGATTATAATATCTATTATAAAAATCACTGAATCTATATTAATAGCATTAGTAAAAAGAAATGTTTTTCCTTCAAATTCAAGGAAAATTAAAATCAGCTGAGGTGACCAGGTCTACTTTTTGACTCCTATGTCGCTGTTTGGGCACTCGTGGAGCTATCTATGTGTAAATATAATAAATAAACTTATATTACATCTGGCATGGCATGTATTCTTGCCATCCATTCCAATTGAGTTAATTTAGTACTTTTGATTTCTTAGAATAGAAGAAGTACACATATTAAATTTTCTTTTGTAGGAAGATAAAGAAAAGAAGAGGCAAGCAGATTTGGAGAAAAAGGCAGAACTACGAGCATTAGTACAGAATGAAGAGTCAACACTGACTCCAAAAGCTACACCACAGAAAGTAACTCAATATGAGTTGAAGGTAAGGCATTATTAGAATATTTATCATACTTAGTAGTTAAAACATACATGTATGGGACTTCATCACACTGAGAGAGGTACATTATCTAATCTGTGAATACCTTATGAACTACTGTGATTAGAGAATCTGAATTATGATGTTTGAATAGAAGGCAAATTTCTAGCATGTCAGGTTATACAATATTTTGATTTAGAGAGGAAAAAAATAAATAAGCATACTTTCTCAAGGGTTATTGAAAGTTCAGACTTAATCCATTGCTGCTCAGCCACCAAAGCATCAATTAGTAGGCATGTGTGACATCATGTGATTTATGCAGAGTAAAACGTTTTTTCTAAAGCTATTTATATTGATACTGTTATTATTAATGACAATATGATTGTTATAATGTTATTAACTATACTAATTTTACTAAAAGATTTGAAAAGTCATGAAGGTTATGGAAAAGTGTAAATGTGTTATATATTATAGGACTAACAATTTACTCCTTGTTAACTAAGCACTTGTTGAAGCATCTCTTGTGTAAATGCAATTGATAGACTAAAATCACTCTAGACATTTACATACATGCCACCTATGGAGCCAGTTAGTTAATTAAACACCATATATCCCAAAAATCATTATTTAATCATTAATCAAGAATCTGGAGTCAATTTAAGGATAAATAAAGAGCCTTTAACCAAAAAAACTCAAGCAGTATGAAAACATGTAGATTTTGAGAATTTTGAGTTGTAGTATTCATGTCATGTAGTTTCTGAGAAGACAGGCAATTAATGATATACTTTTTGCAAATATTACCAGAGAAATCAAGAAAGACAGGTTGAACTGGAGCAGCAACTGAAAGAAAAAGAAGAGTCTAAGACGCACCTTGACAATCCCTTAATTGAAAATCTCAATAGGGCAGAAGGTGATGTGATATCAGCGAGTGGTATTGATGCAGCTTTGTCTGCTCTAAGGTAAGCCTTTGTTTCTTTCTCTCTTTCTTTTTTTTTTTTCTTTCTTTCTTTCTTTCCATGTCATGTGAAGAAAGAAACATGTGATACTGTCATGGAAGAGCATATGTATACTTTGCATGTGGGGTTAATAACTCTTTAACTAGCGTAGCCTTATGAAGCCTACCACTGTTGTTTTCTCGTGTTATACTAAAGAAATTTATTGATTATGCCCAAGTATTTACATAAATATATATTTTCTCTCTCTCTCATTCTCAGGTACAAATACTGTAGATAAAAGGTATTTTCTTAGCATATCACTAATTACATATATATTTCAGTACTGATGACAGTAACACAGACCGACATCCAGAGAAGAGAATGGCAGCAGCATTTAAGGCCTTTGAGGAGAAGAGACTACCACAGATCAAGAAGGAAAATCCAAATTTGCGTATGTCACAGCAGAAGCAGATGCTGCGTAAAGAGTGGCTGAAGAGCCCCGAGAATCCTTTGAACCAAAGGAAATGATTAGATAAGCCAGCGATATACTAAATGTAATGAATATGCCACTGGAGGAAGGATATCTAGGATCTCGATTTATGTTTGGGGAGATTACAGGTCGGATATATATACCTTGGAATTATTTAAGGATTTATGTGGAAGTGTTTACATGAAGATGGTATCATGTGCAAAATTTGTATGAAAGACCTTTAATTAAATTTGTTAGCTTTTATTATTATTATTATTATTATTATTATTATTATTATTATTATTATTATTATTAATGGAAACAATTAGTACACTTTTAGGATAATGTTATTATTGCTTATATTTTTTGTAATTGGAATACATCCACTTATTTATAGTTTTCTTTGTATGCATGATCTTTGTGTGTGGGTGCTTGCAGATGTGTGCTTGTTTGTGTGTGTGCATGGATTTGTTTTTGCCTCAAAACAACTTCTAAATGCACAAAATCAGTGCATAATATTTACAGACTTCAACATCATGACAAAAGTAAAGCTTCTGGGTTCCCTTTTGCAGTTTTATTGTGTTTTGTTCTTAATGTTGTTGACACTCCACAATCGGAGGAATAAACCTTTCTATGTTCACTGTGTTTGTTAGTTCTCCAGAGGGTGATGTTCTGTTGAATATCTTATCTCTAATTATTGTAAGTCCCTTTATACATTGGCACAAAAAAAGTGAATGGTGACCATCTCAGTGGTTCAGTTGTTCAGAGTAATATTAAAAGCACAGTGTAGCTGATTTTCAAGTAAGATCAATTGTTTTGCATGTTAAACCATTCAGGACAGGTAAAACTTTTGCCTAAAGTTTTGCAAAGGCAGGGTTGCCTTAGTTTGTGCCACTCCACACCTGGGTTATTACACCACTCACAGGCTCCTAAGGTTGTTAATTGTATCTGGCATTTGTGAAATTTTAGCCCTGGCATGATTAAACTTCAACCAGTATTAGGCTCCTAAGGTTGTTAATTGTATCTGGCATTTGTGAAATTTTAGCCCTGGCATGATTAAACTTCAACCAGTATTAGTGGATCAAGAAATGAAATGGCAAAAAGGCAGAAAATTCAGTATGCTTGTAAGTGTTTTCCAATTGCTAAGTAGTAGTTGATATATGGTAGAAACTGTCAATGTGTGAGGAGAATTGAGTGGTTTTAATTCTGAGCACCTGTTAGACAGGAATATGAATTATGTGAGTAGTCATATCAATACTGCTTTATGGTCCAGACTTTTAATTTAATAAAAACTAAAATGTTATAGAGAGTTCCTGAATGATTATCATTATTTGATAAAGTTTTACATAATCTGTTAGACGTTGTTTACTGAGAAATATTTTTCTTTCCTACTGAGGTGAAATTGCATAAAGTCCATCCAAAAACATAGCAATATTTTTTTTCCTTGCAAATAGTAAGGTCTCTCACTTTGCTTATAAAGTCTTCAATATTGTCTTATCAAACATAAAATCTGTTATTATGGTTGGTAAACAATACATTACTTGGGTTGCCATTCTCTTATTTGTTTTCTCTTTCCTTCAAAAAGGGGAACTGCATTGCCTTTTCTACTTTTAACATTTAACATTTTTAAGTTAGATTTGCGCCCTTTTGCTTGGTTAACCCATTCTCAGCAGGATCTCCTGACACTATACTGAGCCACATGCCAGATGTGGTGTGGAGTCAGCCACTCAAGGGAAAATTACAAGTACAGAATATATAAATTAAACCCACTCATTACACTTGTCTTTGTCATAAACAATAATAAAGCTAATGAGGCTGAAAAGAGGTTTAAAGCTTTCCTTTGAAGGGCAATTTCATCTCGATGACACCATATCAGGGCAAAAATAGTAAACTACTGTATAACACAATAACATAATGAAGCCTCAATCACACATAACATTATGGAACGTCATCTTGGCGTGAGTGATGGTCTAGCCACGTGATAGGATATCTGTTGCCAATGGGTTAAATGTTGAACTTATTTTATTTCTGTAGGAAATGCATAGCTTAAAAATTTAAGTTTAAGAATTAAAAAAAGAGTCTGGCATACCAAAGTTTGAGGCCTGCATGTAAAGTGAAATCCACAGATGAGCTTAGACAGTTGATGCCATAGTATAAAATGTGATACTAGAGGTCAACAATATATTCCTACAGATTTATTCCAAGTTTCTTTTACTTCACCTATGACCAATTAATATTTAAAAACTTCTAGTATCCTCAGCAGTGGAAAAAAAATGACAAGCCAGTTTTTAAACAATCTTGGGTTGTAATTTAGTCAGCAGTCTTCAGAACCCTGGGTAAACTGCAGGAATCAAGTTGGCCTGTACTGCATTTTTACACACATGCACTTCAGATTTGGTGATGACAGTCTAAATGCAA